AGAGGGAAGTAGGGACAGGAGGAGAGAGAGAGCATAAGTGGGCGGAGGTCTTTCTTTTATAGGGGTCCTTTGCCACCTGGGCTGACCAGGATTCTGCCTGAATCCTTACAGCCACCATCTCATTCACAATTTCCGTAATCAATAGTTAATAAAGATACAGCCCAAGTGAGGCCACAGCTATGAGTTAGTTACATGCTAACTCTGACTAGGTTTCCTCTTTCTGAATTCACTCTACCATCTTTATCTGGGGCAGGTGACTACCATGATAGCCATGCTGTTTTAGTAACACTAGGGTTCATACATAAAACCTATTACAGAACTCTCCTTTTCCTCCAATTCCTGTTCCTATTCCTATTCCTATCCTGAACTCTCCAGGAATTAGTGAAATTCACTTACTTCCTATACACTCAGTCTATCACACCACTGTTCAGACCATGCAAAGTGTTGTTTAGTTTCCAAATGAATGTGATGACTGTTTCTAAGAGGATAATTCCATCCTCTTGGTTGTAAACCAAGGAGGGCACAGAGTAGAATGAACCAGAGTTCATTCCTTCCAGGATCTCATAATCTGCTGTGAGTTAAATCACAGAAAACTATAGTTTATTAGATGAATTGTTACCACAAGACATTCCATTCTTCCAGCCAGAAGAAAGTCCAGCCAAGTCGGACTTGATAAATGTAGCCAGGAGCACCATATCCATTTTACGAGATGGTTTATAGGTGATTAAGTGCTAAGACACAGGGCCACTAATGGAATAAGAGCTCAGGAAAGGATACGCATGTAGGCTACACTCAGTGAGTAAGGCATGATGGAGGAGGTGGTATTTCATCTGAAGTATAGAAGTAAATTAGGCATGGGGTGGGGAAAACATTCAAGGTAGGAGGGATAATAAGCTTCATGAGTTCAAAGACAAGCAAAGAGAATGTTCTTACCAAATCCAGGGGAGGCTTTTTGTTGGTGAGGATCAAAGATTAGATAGTCAATGTGTTTGAAACTATTCATATCTTCTTTTCTTAGTTGTGAAAGCTCTAAACTGTACTTTATAATAAAAAAAGGAAACTTGAGGAAGGAGAAAATGAAAACCTGCTGTGTGGAAGAGCTTCTGGGCAGTCTAATTACTACCCCAAAATTGCAGTTATGACCAAATTCCAGAATACTTTAAAGAGAGATGATATTAGCCACAATGATACCTATAAACTGTGCAGAAAACTCTTATTGATACACAAAACATTCAAAATTTTGAAGACATTTATCACTGCATCCAAAGAAGAAATTCAAGGCAGGGAGATGGATTAAGAAGTTTAACAAACAATATAAATTAGAAGTAAATTTCATCTTCTGTTTTCAGATGCTCTATGATGATAAATGCAATGAAACAGAATTGGGTTTCATATAGTTCCTAGAATCTTCCTTCTACTCTTTCTCACAATACTATCTCAGCCATTGGACTTTATACTTCTCTATGGCAGCCCTAATCACTTAGCATCAGCTGAGTGCTTATCTTTTTGTTCTGACTGCAGCACCAAACAAACTGTCCCCATATTCTTTCTCCAGATATCCAGCCAAGAGTCACTAACACCCTCCTGTTTAGTGTCCAGATTCACCAGGTGACTGATAATCTTGTTCTGGCTGTTCATAAAACTGTTTTTGCTCTGATATCCATTTAGAAAAAGTAGAGACTGGAAAAGGAGCCTTACTAAACTTTGAGAGAAATAATGCATACCTTCAAACAATGTGTCATTCTCAAACTGCTGTGGTGACCTAATGTGAAGTCAACTGAATGGGGCAGGGTGACAAAAAATCCATTGGCAACAGCAAAGCTTTTTTGAATATGCAGTGACCAAAAGGTAATTCAAAATCAAATGCATACTGAATCTGAGGCTATCAGAGCACTGCTTGTTTATATTGTATCACATGACGGCACAGCAACCTTGCTTCTGAACATACAACATGCATAGCTCATACTGTGTTCTGTCCACCACTAACCACAAGAGCAGATAAAGATAGAAGTTTGAAGTATTAACTTGGAAGTTAAGTAAATGAGATGTGAAAATCCTGAATTGGCAATATTTGTCAAAGTATTTCACTTTGTAGAAGGAAGCCAGGCTATGGTGACTAAAAAACAAAAAGAACATTGAGGAAGCAGAGACAGTTAACATAGGATATTCCTACTAGCAGCCTGACTATAACACAAATTTCAATAGCTAGTCACCACAAATAGTTCCATGCTGAGTGATGTATTTAATTGATTAATTATCTTATTATTCAGTCATTGTCTCAAGCACACTTATGGCTGCTGAGAAGCAATAAGCAAAGAGTAAGCAACTAAAAATAGGTCAAGAGTGGGACTAAGGAAACAATACCCAAGAGAGAGAGAGAGCATGAATTATTTCTTAGAAAGTTGGGCATACACACAGATCAGTCCCAAGTTGTAGGGACTGAGTATCACACACTTGGTAGCTCACGTTTATTTTGTAACATGGGGAGGACAGGATTTGGGGATGAGACATCTAAAGACTAAACTATGTAATGAATCCTCATCCTCTTCTCATATTTTCTTTGAAATAGTCTATAAACCTTATTGATGCTCCTTAAACAAGAAGGAGTGGGTGTTTTATAAATAGAACACCCTCATATAACTGACTTTTGTTGTAGACAGCAAAGCTAGACCTCTTTGTCCTACACTGCATTCACCCTGACACAAAGGCACAAAGGAAGTACGGACAGAAATATGCATTGTCTGTGCTCGTGCACAGATGTTGCACTTTTCAGGGTGATGACATCTGCAGTACCATCAAAGGAATCTTTTATGGTTACATAATGAAAAATTCAAAAGCTGTTCTTTTTATTCATGCAGAAATCTAAATTCATACTTTCAAACTCTTTAACTCAAGTAAGTTATGTGGGCCAAAATTCTTGTGTGTTAGTCCCACCTATCTTGTTTCCCTATTGGCCAACAGTGCTTTATTCATCAACCAATAAGACAAACATATACACAGAAGGACCTCCCCCATCAGTAGCCTATCCTAGATAACCACTAGTCTTCAGTTTCCTACTCCAACCAGAACCATCTCATTCAAAGATGAAGCTAGAACTCCAAGGTCATGATCTTTGTTGACTAGTGGAGCAAAACGCTACTCAGTGGTTTCTATTTCCAGCTTCAGGATCTCTTAATGAATCCAGAGGTTCCAACTGCACGCAGAGACATAAACTGGATTCTTCAAAAGAAGATCTATGCCTTCTCAGAACTGGAAGGAAGAAAAGGATGTGGGCCAGAAACAGTTAAACATATAAAAGTATTGAATTTTCACATTGAGTTTTATCAACTGGTATAAAAGACTATTTTAAATTTGTAAACAAATTAAAAATTCTACATTCACCAATTTCCAACTTAATCCCTTCCATATATATTAATCCACTTTTTTGTGTTAAGCATATCTTTTCTCACTATTTCTTAGGACACTTGAATACTAAACTAGTGTTTTTAAGCTACAAAGGTAGCCAACTCCTTAGGAGAATAGGGAACTTTCCTGACACATCATGAGTTTATCAGAGACCTGAGGAGAAAAAAAAGAGAATGTCCAACAAAAGTCTTGGACTAATCCCTCTAAATGCATAAGCTTTGGCCAAACCCCTCGTCCCAACTGTAAAGACTGTATGATACTTCAAGGGACCCTTTTGTCCTAGTCACTCATGAAAGTGAGCAAATACCCCACAAGCAAAACTGACAGATATCTTTCTAATGCTGTGGTCAAATACACTGTGAGCTCTCTAGAAATGCAGGTAGAATCCTCATGTAAATCTTAAAGAAAAGCACATTTCAGCTCACCATCCCATAGAAACATCAGTGGTTGAAAATGGCTGTGTCGTGTGTGGCAAATGCAGGTACAGGCTGGACTGACAGCTGTCTAGTGGCAGTGCTGGCAAGGAATTCCTGCATCAGGCAAAGCTTAGTCTACATGACTCATAAGGTCACTTTTGACTCCACAATTCTATTATCCTTGTTAATTTCCCCAATTCAATTTGCTGTACAGGATAAACAAACCAGCCTAATTTGATCTGGAATCTCTGCAGGCTATCACAGGTCATTTAATCTAAAACACATGGCCCTTGCCGTTCCTGTGTTTTCCAAAATCATCTAACAGACCTTGTCTTTACAAAGACTCCATGTTATTAGTTTCACTCATGGCTTTTTCCAGCTCTTGCTTATTTGACAATTGCCTTTGATTCTTCTTTAGATTGAGATAGAGGGAGCATAAAAGAGTTTTCTCCTTTCGGAATTTCTTTTAAGTCACATGAATAGTGAGTCCAGATTAATATTATATTGCTTACATCTTTACTTCACAATGTGGCTTTCTCTTTTCAGGTATGAGAAACTGGATATGGGCTATAGATAATCACAGGTCTGGAAAAGCCTACTGAAGCAAAATTTCAGAGATGAATGGTCAGATTTTAAATTTTGATATTAATATAATTTATAAAATAAATTTGATATACTGCAACCTTGTTAGAATTGGGGTACTGAAACTACTTGAGTCCTACTTATTAAGAAATATACATATAGTCCAGTCAGATGGCTCAGCCACTTCGCCTGACAACCTGAATTTGATTCCTGGGAACCACATAATAGAGAGAACCAACTCCCCAAAGCTGCCATTTGAGCTTTATAGAGGTGCCAGGACATGTACATGCTCCCCACACACATTCTCTCTCTCGCTCTCTCTTTCCCTCCCTCTCCCTCTCCCTCTGTCTGACACACACATACTAAATAAAAATGTAATTTAAAAAGGAAATACACACATGTGTTAAAGTTGTATATCTTAACATCCTTTACATATGCTTAACTAAAATGTCTTTCTTCACAGTTGAAAGCAGTTCCCATAGTGTGCGTGCTCCATTTAAACAGTAACTGCCACAAGGCAGAATTCAGCCTTAAACATTTGGTTTCTGCCAGTGTGTGTCCACCCTTATAACTGGTGCTATCTCTTGTCTTTTGCAGTGAATGTTGTGTCAATGTTACAGGAATTTTGGGAAAATAAGCAGCAGCAGAGAGCCACATTCTCCAGTGAAGGCCTGGTGGTCTATGAGTCAATGCCCTCCTCTGGGCCTCCCTTTGTGAGCTACGTGACTCTCCCTGGAGGCAGCTGCTTTGGCAACTTTCAGGTAAGAACAGCCAGGCCCTTGTTAGAAAAAAAAAATAACTGGGCTAGAGCACAAACTAGCTACGATTTTTCTTGGATATAGTGAATAAAGCTGAGTCATAGCCTATCAAATATACTGGAAAAAATCAGTCAAATGCCCCAATTTAAAAAAGAAAGAAGTGGTTTATATTGGGGATGTGCCCTGATACTTTTACAGAAAACAATTTTTTTTAAAGAATAGCATTTCATTTCCAGGATAGCTCTCGCCTTTTCCTTCAAAACAACTCTGGAAAAAGATGTATAGAACTAGAAAACAGTGATAAAGCCTTCCATTGGGGTCTTTCTATCAGTTGAAAAGCTGCTCTACCATGATTTTGTTGTAATTAAGTTTTAATCAACTTGGTCATCCCTGCAGCATATGGCTTTAATCCAGTACTCAGGAGGCAAGGACAAATAGCTCTCTATGAGATCAAGGCTAGCCCAATTTTCATAGAGAGTTCTAGGCCAGTAGAATGAAACCCTGTCTCAAAACTAGCTAAATAAATAAATATTTATATAAAAATATGTAAGTCAATGTAACCAGCCTACTCCACACCAAAGCATGAACCAACAGCAGAGAGTTAAAATCTGGGATAAAGTACTGTCTTTATCCCAGGTTCTGCTCCTATCTACTTGGAATACCTTGAGAAACTTATTTAACCTTCCCATTTTCCCCAGCTTTGAGATGGGAAGTATCCACATGTGTAGGCAGAAGTCACAGAAAGTACATTCCCAATGTGTTTAGCATGACATATCTGCTAGATTATACAAGCTTTCCAAATACCATTATTACAATACTCATCCATTTGTTGACACTTTTTTCTCTGTGTGTGTAAATGTAGACATATTTCTAATTGTGTATCTATGCAAAGCATTGGACTATATTACAACCAACATCTGGTTATCCCATGAGTCGCTAGGGAATATCAAGCAGGCTGAGGATATGGTCCATACACTTAGGAAATCAAGGTTAAAAAAAGTTATAGTAATTATGGAGTTATATTTAAGGGTCACTGCAAGCAAGAGCAAGGGAACTTCTAAAGTTACCAGTCCTCTTTGTAAGTATTCCTTTAATGCAATAAGCCATCCCTCATTCAGGAACTAACAGCAGTACTTCATTTCTAGCATATAGAAGAGCATACACAGCCAAGTTTCTTTTTGAGTTTGGTAACTAAAAAGTCCTGATTTAAAAAAAAAAAACCTTTCAGTGTATATATTTATCATGTACATGTATGGGTGTACAGAACTCAATATTTTTAAAGCTATCTTCATATCTGGTGTTACTTTAATTAACTATATTCTCCCTTTGAACTAATTATTTCACTCTATTTTATCGTATTGCCTGGTATATATGCTTTATACTGTCTCAGATCCTTTGTGTGGTGAGAGAAGATTATGTTTTTAAGCTTTTAAAACTTAAATTTTGTAAGATTTGTGTGTGTGTGCATACATAATGTGTGTTCACACTGTGCCATGGTGCTTGTATGAAGGTAAGAGAACACCTTGTGGAAGTCAGTTTTCTCCTTCCATCATGTGAGTCCCGGGGCTCAGACTCAGGTCATTAGATTTGGTGGCAAGCACCTTTACCAGCTGAGCCTTCTCACTGGCCCAAGAAAAGTATAATTTAATAAACAGACTGGCAAACCCATGTTAGCGATTATTGGGAAGTATAAAATTGAAGTTGAGGTGTACAGTTGAAGGTATCTTATCCAGCTGGGAAAGATAACATGTTTTCAGTATAAAGAATGGTAATTTCAAGATACATCAAAAGAGAAAACCTCAAGCATTTTCAGGATTATCAAAGTGTAAGTGTGGGCAAGAACTTGTGGAAGATAGCATTTAGACACTTGGCCATCACACCTTGCAAAGGAGTACATGTTCTGTACTAAGTAAAATCAGAACCCCGAATGTGAGCAATATGCTCAAATGTGTTTCTGAAAGACTGCTCTGGTGGTCACATGCAGATGCTTTAGAACTACATGAAGCTAAGACCAAGAGCTTCAGGAAGTGAGTGAGTCATGAAAATCTATGGTAAGAGAGCTGCATACACAATTCGATCAACAGAGAATGTAAAAGGACTTAAAGATGACTGGGAGTTGGGATAAAGCCTCAATTTTAGTTTAGTCAAGATGGGGCATGAGCAGAGACTCCAGAAAATGTGGACAGAATGAGTGAGTAGGGCATTCTACTTAAAAGGTAGGTTGGAGTTTGGGTTTTTTTGTTTGTTTGCTTGCTTGCTTGCTTGTTTTGATACCTCATTTACCCATTAGCTTCTGTTGTTTTTTAATAGTTTATTTATTATTTTATGCACATTGGTGTTTTGCCTGCATGTATGTCTGTGTGAGGGTGTCAGATCATAGAGTTACAGACAGTTGTTAGCTACCCTGTGGGTGCTGGGACTTGAACCCCTGGCCTCTGGAAGAACAGTCAGTGCTCCTGACCACTGAGCCATTTCTGCAGTCCCCTTGTTTTCAAAAATTAGATTGAATATATCTATAGATTGAGTGTAAAGGTATTTTGGGAAAAACTTAAAGGTCATTGACATTGAAATGGCTCAAAAAGCAGCAAATTTGTTTACGTTTTTTGGAAAAATAAATAAATAAAGGCAGTGATAGCACACACCTTTAATCCCAGCACTCGAGAGGCAGAGGCAGGAGGATTTCTGTGAGTTAAAAGCCAGCCTCTTCTACAGAGTGAGTTCCAGGACATCTAGGATTACATAGAAAAACACTGTCTAGAAAAGCCAAAAAATAAAAATAAGGAAAAAAAAGATAAATAAGAAAGACATCTTTGGAATTTCTAATAAATAAAAATAAAAATTAAAAAATATATGTGTCTCAGTACTTATGAGACAAGTCATACAGTCATAGGAGTCTAGTACAAGCATACTACAAAAAACTCATTATGTTAAAAAACACAAGGGGTCTGTAGAAATGGCTAGGTGATTAAGAGCGTGTACTGCTATTGCAAAGGATGTAAATTCAATTCTCAGCAACCTCATCAAGTGGATTACAACCACTTATAACTCCATCTCCCAGGGGATCTGATGTCTCTGGCCTGAGGGCACCTATATTCACATGCACATAGACACACACAAAAAAAAAACCATAAAAATGAACTAAAACATTAAAGAAAACACCACAGAAATATGAACTGATTTCTGGCTAGTAGGAAACTATATTACTTTGTAACTTTTCTCAAAAGTCATTTCCAAAGAAAAAGTTTGACTAGGGAAGAAAACTAGTGGTTGCAGTTATCTTACTGAAGTCTAAATCTCTCTGCAGCAATAGAATATTCAGCTGACCCCATTTCTCCTCCAGGCTTTATCTCCTGGGATCCCTTTTCTGACACTGAGTGCTTAGGCCTTACTCCTCCACACCCCAAAATATATTTGATCTCCTCTAGTCATCCCCATACTCACACTGTGACCTAATAGTCAGTGCTCCTGCCCCACCTTCTCGGCCTCCACACAAGAGTATTCTCCATGTATTTGCTCTGAACCTTCTGTTGGAAACAGTTTACCTCCTCAGATTTCCCAAAGCAGTTATTTGCTTCTCTATTAGCACTTTATGCTAAGGTCATGTGTGCATGTGTTTTATCTCTGCAATAAAATATAGATGCCTCAGGGATGGGACCCATATTCTTAAGACTTCATAATCTCAAGCACTGCTGTTTTCACATAGCATCAGCCTGATAAATTTTGTTAAATCAATACTCAAATGAATGAATAATAAACCCCAAGAATAACTTAATGTTGTTACTCTTCTATGTAATCAATAGTCTGCAAAGATATCCACTTAACTTTTCATGTGTGTAGGGCTACAGAGGCTCAGTAACTCTGTAACAAACCACCATTATCTTGTTTGTATCTATGGCTAAAGTATTGGAAGTGAATCAATGAGAAATAATTGATCTAGGACCTCCTCACTCCCTCTGGATTTCATTTGTGCATAACTTTTCTCTTACTTGGCTCTCATGGCCATGAATAACCAATGATGACTGTATTTGTTCCTAGGCATGCATTATGTCCATAGTCAATAAATGCACCCATTATAATCTATCTATAATGGAATGCATTTGTCATATAAAATATATCTAGAGATCATGAATCTAAGAATTCTAGTGCTCTTTTTTTTGTTTTAGCTACCCTGAGAACTATGAATTTTCCTATTGTCTCATAAATTTTGACTTAAATGATAGGACTTCCCTTAGATGGTGGATCCAACATCATCCTTGTGGTCTTAAAAAAATGAAAATGGAAACTACTCAGCAGGGAGGCCTCTGGGTGACTTCTCTGATCCTTTCAAAGTCTCCTTTTCCTTATGTTTAAATCATCATAGTTTAAGGTTCTCAGGGGGATTGTTAACGTCCTTGCTTTAAAAGACCCAGAACTTCCTGAATCAAAAATATTATGAAATGTATTTGGGTGGCTAGCAACCAAATCTAGTCCCTTAACCCATTTGTTCCTCCAAAACATGAATGGGGGAAAAAAAACCAGGGAAGAAAAGAGGAATAAAAATTTTTCTAGAGATATCTTGCACTGTTTCTTTGTCAGTTCAAAAACCATCTTAAATACTGTTTTTGCCATATAACATTTAACCATGTTTTACCATCAGCTGTCCTATAAGAGCCTATATGTGCATTGCAAACGATCTCATGATGGATTATTAATACCAAGGCCATGTGCTGAAGCATGGAGAAATTTTTATGCCAGAGTAGGCCTCTTGCTGCTCCATGGACATCACTTCCAGTGGTGCCAAGTAATGAGAAACACTTAAAGTGGAGTGTGAGCTGGGTTACAGAACTAATCACTCTGATTTTAGCAGTTTTGTGATAGCTGTAAGAAATTATGCTCATTCATTCAGAACAGAGGTATTCAGAATGGTCTTTAGCTTTCTCATTAGTAAAAGGAAAGCTGTCCAAGGCTTTGATGGTCACAAGCTAACACTGTTTTTTATGCAAAGTACCTCTCATTTGAGTAAA